GTGTCTGCCTCACGTTTTTATTTTCTGGCTTGTCACAGGCCAGACTTCGTTGCCCGCTTAATTCCAATAGAAATTGACGCTAGCCTCACTAACGGTTGCGGGAGGCTCCCACATTACGGCAGGAAGACTGCATTGCCCATAAAGCTGAGTGTACGTACCAGCGAGAAGCGTTTCTGCTTGAAAGCTTCCGGCCCTTTTGAATCATCTTAACGTTTTACTTTATTAGGAATTATAAATCATGTATTGAACGAATGCGTGAAGAAACTGTCTGTCTTTCATTCCTCATCCATAAACACAAGCGGAGCTCTGCCTACGAATGGGTACGCGATTCATCAGTACAGCTTGCTATCCACCATTTTTTGGATGCAAATGGATTTGCAATAGAGAACAAAAGACAAGATGTAAGAATGATAGCTATTTAAGAGAATTCGAGTTGGAGATAAAAGGAAGAGTGAAAAGAGAAATAAAATTAAATTCGTTAAAAACTGAAAAGTGTGTAATTGAGGCGCTTCCCGTTTCGGCTTCACAGTAAATAAAGTGAGGGAGAACAATCATGCCGAAGTAATGAGAGGAGTGGAGGGAAAATGGCCGTAGTAAAAGAAAGGTCGAAGTGGTTTTAAAAGTACGTGATATTGCAGTAGCTGGATACCAGGAATGGCTTTTATTTCGCAGTCTGTTTTTTTTTACCTCTGTGTTTCTGGCACTTTTTCCTGTTGGTTTGACCAATGCTACAACAAACGATATCAGCCTGCTGCTGTTCTTGATGCTATAAAAGCAGTCAGTTCCAAACACAGCCAATTCCTGACAGCGAAATCTCAATTTGGTGCTCTTCGGCTCAGTTATCGCGCTTTTTTCATCTTACTTAGTACGATTTTGAGCTTATCACCAAAAATACAGTAAATGAGACAGAGAAAGAGTTTACAGATCTGTCTCGAAAAATCACAGAATTGGCATCGAGAAGTTTCTGACCTTTCTTCCGTCCTCTCTTTTACCCTTGGCTATTTTTTAGTTTAGGCATCAATTTAACTTTTTTTTCGCTCATTTTTCAAACTAAGTCGTCTGCTAGCTGTAACTAAGAATTCAAACAAACAGCTATGCATTTTAACGGCTCTTCGCCCCCCAAATTCCCTCATCACTGAAATGTTTGCCAAGTACAAAAAGGTTTGGATGTTCTTTAGCAGTGGCGATGGAAAAGTGAAGGTGTCCATTTTGTCTGGTGGGTTTATCTACTGCATTCTGAAGCAAGCTTAATGCTGGAGTATGTTTGCAGACTGGTACTACTAATTAGCATGGGAATTGAACGATTGATCTGTGTTATTGCTGTAGTGAGCACAGCCTACGGTCAGCCGCCTTGGACTATTCGCGCTAAAACTAGAGAATTTTATCAGAATTTCCGTGAGTGCAAGCTTGCGGTAAGTTTCCGAAATTATTTTATGGGAATTTCCTCAATTTTTTTTTAAGTTGCGCATAAAATATTTAAATCTGCTGTGAGAAAGAAGCTATTTCCTCGCAGAATTTCCAGGATCATCGAGGTTACTCGGGTGGTCAGTGTGAAGATCGGATCTAACTGCTGTTGCTGGAACTCCACCTATTGGGCACAGCTTCAAAACGCCCTTCCATCTTAAGTTGCTAAGAAAGATACTCCGTTTTCTGATGAAAAAAAAAACCTCAGAGCCTAATTAACTGCTGCATGAAAAGGCTAATAGTTCATTGCTAAAGCATGTTTGGAACGCCTCCAACGGTGTAGCCAACACTGCGCCATTTTCCCTTTCTTTCATTTCATGTTTGTTTTGACCAATGTTACATTGACTAGTGGTTAGTCGTTTGGCTATTTTGACGTTCTTTCGTTTCCTGGAGGAAATACCGGCTTGATGGCTCTTCTGAAAGAAGCAGGCTTCAGCTATGTGCAGACTCGGTGCTGTCTGCTGAACGCCGCCAGCTCATTCCCGGTCGTTTCATGATGGCCTGACGTATAAAGCATTATTAAGTTACACTTGTTACCCGATACTCCGTCCCAAATTCAGAAATCTAAAATAATTTTTTTAATACTGCTTCGGCATTGGCCGAACACTCGTCATCACCATTAGACTGCTGCTGTGGCCAGTGTACCATTTCAGCATTCGAGTTCAAGTAGAAGTTCTTTTAGCTAACGCTTTCAAATAAGGAGCTTGACCTGTCCAAATTGCAAATTGGTCTAGCACAAAATTTGCCCAAAAATAGTTCGACTTGCTGTTCAGCAGCCTGCTGAAGTGTGATTTAGTTGAAAGCGAAGAAATGATCTTTTGACAAAAGTCGTAGATTTTTGGCATTTCATTTAGCGGTTGTTCCAGGACGATGAGTTGCGCGAGAAAAATCCGAAGGCGCGGTTGGTCAATGTAAAGCGACTAACAGAATTTTTTGAACAGCGAGCCCGAGAGCTCGCAGATGCACCACCACCTGGTAGGTTGACTCGCAGTCAAACCTTTGATTGCTTGAGGTGGACAGCACCAGCAGATCTTCATATTACACAGCCAGCCAGCTCCGTTGACCATAATAACGAACCGGTACTGCTTTCTTTATGAGTTTTTTTCGTATTATTACATTTCAAGGCGCTTTGGCAGTGCAGAAATGAACGAAAAGTTTGAATGACAAAAGCTTTGGGGTGGGGCGAGGGAGGGGGGATAAGAAACTGAGAAAGTGATAAGGAGAACGTTTTAGCTCCGGCCACACAACTAACATAAAACCATTTAAAATGACTCTGCG